AATTTTACTCTAAGAACTCGAGTCTTGGCTAAAATTACCCCAGGCGCCAAGAATTTGCTTTATTCCTGAGAGCAAAGTCAGCTCTCGAGGCAATTTTACCTTTAAAACTAATTTTAATTCTTATTCACCTGGACTAGAATTACGTAATTCCCCGAGGGAAAGACTGAGGTAACTATCTTTGGTGACCTGTGGTATCGGCGTCCTTTTAAATAACACACCGTTGAGATATTACCTCAGCCACCACTGGCCGTTTTACTCCTAAGAATACACGCCGCGGTTAAAATTACCACAGGTGCTGCCCTTACTCCGCGAGAATAGGCTATTAATTAGCTAAAGAACTCACACTCCCCTCCGTATCTTACAACGTAGAAAAGTCTCAGAATTACCTCAAAGCTCAAAAGGCCCTGCCCGGCCTCGAGCTCGAGGACTTGGGCCGCGGGAGCGCCGGAGAGAGAGACATTTTTGTCCCCCGGCGCCCCGCAACATCTTCTCTTTTGAGGAAAAAGAGACGCAGTAGCGGCGTCCGCTGACTATGCAGCGCGCTCGCTTATCTTTTTGCACTCAGCCCGAGAAGCCCGCCGACTTTTTAAATGCCCCCGCCTCTCTGAGAGGAGAGAGGCCTCTCAGCCAATCCGAGCGACGGGTTTTCGGAGCAGCCAATCGCGGCCGAAATGGCCGCGGAGAAGAAACTCGCCAGGAGGTCCTTGGGTGGCGCTGGGCGGGGAAGGGAGCGCGCTCGCGCTCGTGCGCACGCGCACCCAGTGGGCGCGTGCCGCTGTTTCCCCCCCCAACCTCGCAATCCGGGCCCGGCCGCGGCTCCCGGAGCGGTTGCCATGGAAACGGCGGGAAGCAGACTTAATATGAAGTTAAATTCTTTAGGGGATGCACTGTGCCACATGCTTTTATTAACTATGGTTAATTAAACAGTTTGTTATGCTAAGGCATCATGTGATCTGTTCTGGTTTTGGCTTTGCCTTCTGCATGAACAAACCCACTATGGATTGTTCAGCAAACCATGAGTCTAAAGCATAGCTTTACATGATGCGTAAGCCAATTTGTCACATCATCCATGCCCACTATTGTGCTGTGATCTTGACTTACTGCTTGTGTTCACATTTTCCTGAAGCTGACATTGCTTTACTCCCTGCATTTTCCCTTAGCTGAAGCAGAAAACCGTGGAACTGACTGGAGCTTGTCAGAAGCAGTATGAACTGGAACAAGAACTGGCCTTCTATAAAATTGATGCTATTATCCCATGGAGGTAATTCTTGGATGGTGTTCTAATTTCCAGGGATCTAAAATTTTGGCTAGCACGAGAGCCAAATTTTTGGTAGTCCCATTCTCAATGGGATGATCAGAGAAGAGAGGCTTATGCACATTAAGTACGTGCTCAGATTACTCCTTCCTCTGATGATGATGGCACTGGTGATGTTACCTAGTTGGAAAGTGAAATGTCTGCAAGAAAAGCAGTAAGCTCGGAGCACTAAGTATTCCATACTTCTTCCTCACCAAGGATTCCGTACTTCTTCCCATGGCTAACTTCAGACTTATGGAAAAAGTAATAAAAAGAGTCATCCTTGGTAGGGAAAAGAGAAATGAGGGATGCCTGAAGTGTTAATATGTCTATATAAGCTTAATTGGAATATAGTAATTTTCAAAATAGTAAAGCTTAAAAACAGGACTTGGATTTTTATAATTGAAATGTGATTGATGACCGATTGGATTGATTGAGCTTTTTTTACAAATGTAATAATTTTAATTGGTAAAATAATATGTGGGAAATAGAGAGGGAACTTTTAAGGAATTAATCTGTGTGATATATGTATGATTTTGTTCTTGGATAATTGATGGCCCAATCACCACGTTGTTTCTCAAGCACTTTTATGTAAAAATGAAAAAAACCAATAAAATTTCTTCATAAAAAAAAGAGAGTCATCCTTGGAACTGGATCATGTTTTCAGGGGATTCTCTGTGCTTCCAAACTATGAAGCCTCAATAAATTGCAGACCATCTCTTCATCCTGGGAGAGAGAGGGGGGGGAAACATGTACGTAATTGAAGCCTCTGATACAGACTTCCTTGACGCTAGTTACCTCCTGATGTGCTTGTCTCAAATCCCCACTTGCTAAGAATGGGCCATGTAGTCAGGAGGCAAAACGTGGAAGGATCAAAGCTGGGGAAGACCTTTTGAGTGCAAACGAGAGGGCTTTTTTCAATCTTAGATGTTCTTGCTTCTATCCCTCACCTACACAAACTAGTATGTATAACAGAAACTTTATATGACGATTAAAGTACAGGTTAGCTGAAGAAGATAAAATCCACAAATAAAGGGGACTTGGATGAAGTTTTTAGTTATTTAGCAGAATAAGAATTAGTAGTAAGATCTTTATGAAACACATTGGTTAAATCAAAAAAGAAATTTTTTATACTTGTCTTTTTTATCTCTCAGTTTATCAGAGTTCTTTATGCAACCATGCTGCTTTCCTCTGGGCTCTCCTATTTTTCTTTCTTTGTAGTATTGTGCTGGATTGGGCTTTTATAATCTCATTTTTCAGAGTTTCCCAAGCATCTTGAGTTTTCCCCTTTAGGATGCCCATCCATGAAATTCTACCTAAGCTCTCTCTAAATTTGTTGAAATCAGCCCTCTTAGAGTCTGTTCTATTGCTTATGTCTGCATTGTTGAATTCCAGTATGACATGGCCACTCTTCCCCAAAGTTCCTGCAACTTCAACCTCTTCTATCATTTCATCCTGGTTAGTAAGAATTAAAATCAGAATCGAGCTGGGAGGGACTTGGAGGTCTTCTAATCCAGCCCCCTGCTCAGACCCTATACAATTCTAGACAGCCTCCAGCTTTCTGGAGAGTCTTTCCACTGATTAATTGTTCTCATTGTCAGGAAATTGTTCTAGGTTGCTTCTCTCTTCGATAAGCTTCAGCTATTACTTCTTGTCCTGCCTTCAGGTGCTTTGGAGAATAGCTTGACTCCCTCTTCTTTGAGGCAGCCCCTTAGATACTGGAACACTGCTATCATGTCCCCCTGGTCCTTCTTTTCATGAAATCAGACATACCCAATTCCTGCAACTGTTCTTCCTATATTTTTATCTCTGTTTTTGTCATCTCTGCCTGGAGACTGAGAACTTTAATGGACATTTCCCAGTGGGGCTTAAAAGTTCCAAGTGACCCATAGCCAGGCTGTGACTGTAATCTCACAAATGTTGGACACAGTGTCGTCAAATATTGACGAGGCCCCCTGCAAGAGGCTACCTGTGTCCCACAGCCCACAGATCTTTGAGGTGGGCACAGGGCTTCTTTTGCCCAACTGAGGGTTTCTTAGTGGCCCCTCAGAAGAAAGTGGCAGCCAGGCTGTCCCCAGCCCTTCCCCTCTTGGGGCCCCCAGTTCACAGTTGCCTCTGTCTCAGAACAAAGCTCAGCTTTTACAAGTAATGCATACGTGCAGAGCCCTTTTTCTGGTCATACAATGTCATACAGCCACACACAGATCACGGGTGTCTGCAGGGTATGGTGAAAAAAAAATCAGGCTTTGATGGTGCAGTCAAAGCCAGGCATGGTTTTTATGTCTGTTGGGTTTGATCACGTTAATTAAATTCACTATAATGACTCTCTGGTTTTCTCCTATAACTTTTGGATGACAAAATTGTCAGCCAGACTCACCAGGAACCTGTTTGATTTCCTATTTGGTGCAGTTTTTCTCTCAGTTGATGTCAGGGTAGTTAAAGGCCTCCATTACTACTGTAGTGTGTTTCCTGCATCCTTTAGCTAACTGATTAGCAAAAAAATTGATCTATTTCCTCTGCTTTGTTGGGGGGGCGGGCGGGATCTCTCGTATACACTTATAGCAATGTCATAATTCTTAGATAATGATTAAGCATTTCTTCCCAGGGCAGGAAGTCTTGTCAGGTGCCTGTTTGAGATACACGTATCATTGCCTGCGCTGCTGGATTTTGTACCAGTTGCAGCTTCTGAATGCTTTTCAAAGGGCAGCCCCATACAGAGTGCATTAGAGCAGTGCAGGGGTGAGTGACTCTGAGCAAGGCTTCCTAAGTGAGCAGGGTTGCAATTGGCACACAAGATAGAATTGTGCAAATGGCCTGCTGGCCACAGCTGTCACCTGCTCATCAAGAAGTTGAAGGTCCGGAAATTGTGCACCATTGCCAAATGAGGGAACACAACCTTGTTCAGAGTCAAAGATGGAACTATCCTGGAATTGTTTAGGGCACAAATCCAGAGCCAACCCATCTTGGGGGAGATTCTGTTTTTCCTCCTCATCCGGACACTGATGGCCTCCAGCAATTTTACTGTATCACCTGCTTGGCCTGGGGACAAGATCTAGAACAGGTTATCACCAGCATATTGATGATAGCGGGACTCGTGTTGACAGATTACCTTCCCCGGTGGTTTCATTTAGATGTAAAAAGAAGCAGGAAAAAGAGACTTGGAATCTCTGGGAAAGTCTCTCCTCCTCCACCAGCACTGACTGTAATCATGCCCGGAGGAAGGAGGTGAACCGCTAAAGACCTGTGTCCCCCACCCCAGTCCCACAGAGGCAGTGAGGAGGCTGCCTTGGCTGAGAGATCAAGGACCAGGAAGGTTGCACTCCTCAAATTTGGTGTCATCCAATGCAGTTTCCATGCTGCACCTCCACCAGAAGACTGAGCACTATGGATCCCAGGCAGCAACATGCTCCCAAAATATGCTCCTTCAATACTTTTTTAAGTTTTCACAATTAAAGAACAAGGATACATTGTCTTAATTTTGCAGGATTGTGGCATGTGATAGTCTAAGAGAAAGGTGTTTATAATTGCTATTACTGTCAGATAATTGCTAACCTACTTTGCAAGTGGATTACTAAGGTGGAAAATTCTGAGGCACCATCTAGATGCTAAGTATTCTTAGATACTTTCAACAATTGGTGGCCTGTGGCAAAATATTTACAATAGTGTGTGTGAAATGCAGCTGAACCCAATGAGTCACCAAGGCAGGTTTCTTCTAAACAGCTCTGTGTAGTAGCCAGTGATTTATAAATACTTTTATTACTGTTAGTAAATCAAATGCAAAAGTGAATAAACATCTCCTAGAGATTCCTCAAAGATCAGAGGCACTGGATTGGAAAGGCCGTAGCTGAAAGAAGACTACATGCCGGTTAAAGGGAATGAAGCTCATCAGAGGAGCCGCCTCTCTCCATGCCACTCAGGGGTCCCAATTGGAGGAGTCAGGACCTCAGAATTGACATCTTAAAGAGCTAACTTTCCCGAGAGAGAAATAAAAATTTAGAGAACCTGAACTGGCCACCCTTCTTCATTTAAACAGTATTTCAAAAGCATCTCTCCTTTACATTGCCAGGTGAGTTTTAGTAAATCACTTCTTCTCCGTCCGGGATGATGTTAGGCACACAAATCAAAGAGATCTGAGGATCTCGTGGAAGAGAAGGAATACCCAGAGTGGCACATAAGGTTGGGATCCTTCCCCAGCAGCTCCACTGCCCATTCCAGAGGGAATGGCAAGGTGGGTGAGCTCTGCTCCAAGCAGCAGCTGAGGCACTGGCAGAATCAGAATTTTAGCGTGCTCTGCTGGGTGGGGATCATCTAACAGAAACAGTCTCTGCTTCTTCTTGCTACATTCACACGTACAGCTGAGGGACCCTGCGTAGAACCAAGAGAGAGTGCGACTCCTGGAGCTGGGATGCTTTTGGTCCTGACATGGGAGGGAGGTTGGGGAGACTGGCAGATCCTGCAGCGAGGCAACCTGGACCTCTTGATCTGGCAAAGGATCTTACGAATTTCAGATGTTAAGGGAGGGGATGATGGGGACAAAATAAAAAAAAAGTGGGAATGATGACCGGGAAAAGTCCAGTGGTAGGAAAGAAACTTAAGACGGAATGACGCCGGTGGCAAGCAGGATGATGAGAATAAGGATGATGACAGCAATGATGCAGATTATGGCAATCATCTTGATATTCTTCCACCAGTACTTCCGGGCCACTTTTTGTGAGGTTGTCTTGAAGTGTTCCGACTGTGTAGAAAAAGATGCACATCACTTACAAGGAGTGAAGAGAAGCTTCCCTCCCTGAACCCGGGGAGGCGGAGGGGGGGGAGGGAGGCTTCAGTTGCAAATATATTGGCAGATGCCTACTCTGACTGACCAAAACTTTTTCTTAATAGCAATTTTATTAAAATTACAACTATCATAGTAAAAAAATGCAAACTAAAAAAAATATAAAAGTAGAAGGTGCAGAGAAAAAAAAAGAAAAGAGAATACCAACTCTTACCCAAGCAAAGCAAGTGCTCCTTTACACGCTTGGCGAGCATGCAGGGTGACTTCTGCATGCACACCAGGGCACTGTAAGAAGTTGTTACCATCTTTAAAAAGAAAATGTTATTAGCCCAGAAATAAAACAGGGTCTGTGTTCATGAAACACAATCAACCATGTCAATTAAAGATCTACTGCCTGCATTTATGCAAGATACTAATCTTGATTACCTCTGTCTTAGTATATTGTGCAGATATGGCTTTTCAATATAATATGTGAACCCACAAAATGGCTCGATTAAATAATGAAGCTTAAATATAGTGTGCAAACATAGTGAGTTTGTTCAAACGGGAATTCCATCCAGCTTTAGCCCAACAAACAGAAGGTTTTTGAGGGGCTGTCACAGAGAAGAGGCGGTCATCTGATTCTCTGCATATTGAACAAAGATAATAATAATAATAATAATAATAATAATAATAATAATAATAATAATAATAATAATAATAATAATAATAATAATAATAATAAAGTTGGAAGGGACCTTGGAGGTCATCGAGTCCAACCCCCTGCTCAGGCAGGAACCCTACACCATTTCAGACAAATGGCTGTCCAGTCTCTTCTTAAAAACTTCCAGTGTTGGAGCAT